CCGGGGCCTCGGCCCGGCCCGGGCCCCGCTCCCGCCGGCCCGCAGCCCTCTTCTCGGGCCCTCAGTGTAGTGCCGGGTGAGCCCAAATCGCCCAGAAACCACAGCCCTGCGCGGCTGAACAGCGTTTCTGTTTGGAATTTCGCTGCCTCGTGCTGGAACTGGTTAAATCAAAACGTGGAGGGAAGAGGTGGCAGCAGGCAAAGCAGAAAATACCGCATTTTCGTTCAGTGAAAACCTCCCTGGGCAGCCTGGTCCAATGCCTCGTCACTGTCAGGAAAGAAAGTCTTCCTAATATCCCATCAAAAGCTCCCCAGGCACAGATTCAGTCCCTTTCCTCTTGTCCTATCACTAGTTCCTTGGTGAAGAGACGAACCCTCACTTCACCAACCACCTCTCTGGGCAACCTGGGCCAGGGGCTCACCACACCCAACTTCAAAAGTTTCTTCCTTCTCTCTAGTCTGAATCTCCCTCATTTAGTTTAAAACCATCATGACTTGTCCTATCACAACAGATCCCATTAAAAAGTCCTCATTGTTCTTTAAATACTGGAATGTCACAAGAGGGTCTCCCCAGAACCTTCTCTTCTCCAGGCTGGACAACCCCACCTTGTGAACAAAGTCACCTTTGGCAGCAGAACTCCTAATACTCCCTCCTGTTTCCATTGTCTGTTCAGGCCAGAATAACTGACAAATTTGGGTGAGGAGCTGGCAGCAAAGATCAGCTCTGAGGCTCAGAACCCATTGCTGTGACTGCAAGAATAATCTGTTAATAAATGCAATATCTAGAAGATATTGAAACTGTTGAAGAAGAAAATAAAATGCTACTCATATAAGCAGAATTATCTAAATTACTTTCACCCTTTTTTTCCAAATAGTATTTGTAAACTTGTCTGAAAATGCCCAAAACAAACTCAAATTAAGCTTATTAACCAAAATCCACCTTCTTTCTTCACAGCCGATGAAGAATTTAATGATCTTTGCTTTGAGTTTGGTTTGGAGCTTGATGAAGTTGTAAGTAACATTTTCATTTAAAACGGTTTGACTTGGTCTTGAAGGTCTTCCCCAACCTGAACGATTCTGATTCCATTTGTTACCCTTTCAGTAGATGTAGTGCAGTGACAGAGTGCAGTGACAGCATTTATTTTCAGTTCTTCTGTGCAATAGCCACAAAAATGTATTTGTCCTGGATGTTGTTACCAAAGCTGTAACTAATCTACATTTAAAGTTTTGATTTAGAGTCTGCTTGTGAAAATTTACTGGCTCTCTTAACTGTATCCATGTAAGTCCTGTTCAAGTAGACCTGTTTTGGGTTTGCTTTTTAATTTGAAGTCATTGATCTTTTAATGATGCTTGTCGAAAGACAACTGGACATCATATATTACGCTTTATTTTGGAATGGACTCGGTATGACAAATAACTTGCTGATCCCTTGCTAAAAATAGAGTCCCAGTTCTCTGCTGGGATTGACTAGCCTGGAGAGTCTTGCTTGTGGAATCTCTTTTTTTTTAAAATTCAAATTCTGATTGTTTTTTCCTTTTGTATACTGCATTACAATCTCTGAACACGAGAAAGATTTCAATTTTATATAATTTCTGGTGTCTGGTGTGTTCATTTTCTGTATAAACCTGAATGACACCATTAAGCTTTTAATTAATACAATTTTTCCTATTCTCTCACTACCACACTCTGTTAAGATATATCAGGTTAAAAACACATTTTTTCTTACTTTCAGACATCTGAGAAAGACATTATAAGTAAAGAAAAAGGTGAAGAAAAGGCAAAGGGGGCATCTGAAACCATTATCTATAAAATTGATGTTCCTGCCAACCGCTATGATCTCCTTTGCCTGGAGGGGTTGGTCCGAGGACTGCAGGTCTTTAAAGAAAGGTAATGCAGAGTTGTGAGGTTTGTGTGTGGTTTGGGGCCTGCTTCAATTCGAGTCTATTTCTGGTCAATAACCAAGCTTGCCACTTTTGTGGATTTTGAGTGTGATATGGTGGGTAGCTCAGTTTTGTCAGTTATACAACAGATCCTCTCCAGATGCACATTTTTCAAAGATCAGGCTAGAATGTTCCTGGATTTTGGCTCTGTTCTAAAATTTTTTTCAAGTGCTGTTGCATTTGAGACTTGTTCTCTGTAAAGAACTCCTGCATAGGAACTTCCTGGTGATCCTCTGTAATAAATACCAAACCACTTATATCAGTTTTCTGCTATGATTTTATCTTCTTGACTCCTTCCTTTCTACTTCAATAATCCATTTACCATCCCATAAAAAAGAAGTTTCAAACAGTTAGCTAATTTACATGCCACTAAGTATTACTATGAAGTTTTCTACATAGAATCTTTGCTACATTTCTAAAGTTTTCTGCATTTGATAGCTTACTTTCTTTCAGTTACAGACTTATTTGTGGTTTTATTCTAGGATAAATCTTCCTAGGTATGAAAAGATAATACCAGCTCAAGGTGAAGGTCAGAGGCTGATTATCACTGAAGAGGTAAAAGTGTTTACTGTACCTTTCTACATCTATTGAGAGTTTCTGAACCAGCAAAATTGGTATCAGCACTAATTCTATAACAGCAGTGAGACTGGAAGTCCTATTGGCAGAAGAAAAGCTAGAGAAATTTCAGTATCTGTACTCATTGTGATTTATTTTCAGTTAAAGGAGGCGGAAGGGATAGAGACAAATTATTTGAACCTAGTAGTGGACAAATCAGTTTCAGATGCTCACATTGCACTGACCCTCTGGGCCATTAGATGTTTCCATTAGGTATTGGAAACCTCCTTGTCTCAACCAGACCTGGAATGGGTTTATTTGGGTTTCTTTCCCCCCCCATCGGGATTCTGACATATTTCCATAAATTTTCCTTTTGATTACTCCTTTACAAAAAAGGATTTTATGATGTGAAGCGTGTATTTAATTAATTAATGAATTAGTTTTGTGTATTCTGCATGCTGGACATTCATCACGTGCTGCTGTGGTGATCTGCAGACTGTCCAAGTCCGTCCTCACGCCGTGGCCGCCGTCCTTCGTAACATAACTTTTACCAAAGAACGTTACGACAGTTTCATTGACCTCCAAGAGAAACTACACCAAAATATTTGCAGGTTAGTGCTTAAATTTCAACTGTAGTGTCTACGTGTATGATTTTATCACATTAAGGCTGCACATCCCTATTGCAATGAGACTTTATATTTACACTGAGGAAAATCTTTTATAGCAGCTCTCCTGATCCTTCTCATTTCCTTGCCCGTTTGTGTCTGCTCTCAATATTTTTCAACATAAACAGCTGTTACATTTCCTACCACAGTGGAGAGAGAAGCATTTTGCAACGTCCCATTGGATTTACCTGTGACTGATAGGTGTGTTGTTGGCATTTGTTAAAATGTTATTCCTGAAAATAAACTTATAGGCTGCTCAAAATTGCCCTTCTGCTTTTTCAGTAAGTTCTGTGAGTGCATAAAAGTAGAAAGCATCATGAGATATCTCAAAATATTAGTAATAAAAGTGTTATTTGGTCTTTCTTTTTAGGAGAAGAGCATTAGTAGCAATAGGTACCCATGACTTGGACACCATCTCTGGTCCATTTACTTTTACAGCTAAAGCACCTTCTGAAATTAAATTCAAGCCCTTGAATCAATCCCAGGAGTACACGGCTTCACAAATTATGGATCTGTACAGGGTAAGTGAGAGTTTTTAGACTTGTTGCACTAAACGCAGGAAGACGCTTTTCCAGGGCTCATGTCCTTATTATTAAGGGCTCTTAGAAATAAAACACTTCTCTAGCTTCAGCCAGTGAACAGTCCACATCTTGCTTATTTGTAAGAAATGGATGGGAATACTCTATCTTCATAACCCATCATAGTGTTTTGGGGCTAACTGTAACTCCTTGAGTACTGGGTTTGATATTAACCCTCTGATTTATCAACACGGAGACTGCTTTTCATGATGCTTTTAATAACACACACAAGGCTATTAATAACCTCTACCCTGTAAAAGGGCTGTATATTTGTCTGTCTGCATTGCTGAGATACTCAAGGTACAAAGCTGAGGAAAGCTTGGGGTAAACAATACCAGATTTTTTTTAATATCACTTTAATTTGGCCAATTTACTTGGGGAAGATGTTGAGTTATTTACCCAACTACGTATCAGGCACATACAGCTGTGTAAAAGGCTCAAGTAAAGCCTGGCACTGCTCCCAGGGCAGCGTCCTGATGAAACCAAGTAAATGCTGGGAAAAGGTTCTTTCAGGTCTAATTTGACAGTGTTTATGTGGGCAGCTTTAACTGTCAGTGTTTGAAAGTGATACTGTTATCACCATCATTCCAGTACTACAAAGCCCTGCTGAGCTCTCATACTGGGCACAGAGAGAAACAAATTCTCAAATTTATGACTAAAGATGAGGAAGAGAGCTGGGAACCAGGGGTATCAGAGAGATGAAAACCAAGGGGTACTTTTGGTACAGCATGTACCAGTGTCATTGGAACAGATGTACATTTTGAAGCAAATTAAAGGACAAATGTGTCAGTATTCAGCAATTTACAGTTAAAAGTTCTGTAAGTGCTAATTTTTACCACTTCTAAGGGAAGTCCCCATAAACTAAGGATGTGTGCCCATGGGATTGGCAATGAAAGGTCTGCTGTGGTAAGCGAGGGCATCATTTAGACAGCATGGCCTACATGTCTGAGAGAATCCTTACATGATTTTTAACACTTCTGAAGAAAACAAAAAATCCACTTCTCTCATTTCAAAGTTTTCCTGCTTCTGAGTGCAAACAGTTTTTGCTAGTGAAGCAGCCAGCTCTAAACCAAATCCTTCCCTCTTTCAAAATTCCCGTTAATCTCTCAGCAAAGGATTGTGTCCCTGTGGAAGTTCACAAGTGAGCTGATGTGAGACTGGGGTTGTGCTCTGTCCCTGCAGACTGACAGCCACCTTCGGCACTACTTGCCCCTGATTGAGAACAAGCCACGTTATCCTGTCATCTATGACAGCAAGGGTGTTGTTCTGTCCATGCCACCAATCATCAATGGTAAGATGGCTGGTTTAGACCATTGCTCCTGGTTTGTGTGTGAGTCACTGTCTAACAAACATTTCTGTGTCATCAGATTGTTCTGCTTTCTTCAGATTCTTTCACCTACAATTTCATATAGTCTTTTGGTTTAAATGCAGCCAACTTTTAATGTTTTTGCTTGCTCCCTCGGCTCCTCTTTCCTCATCCAGAGGGTGTAAAAGTCCCACTGCAAGCCTCTGCATCTATCTTCTCATACCCTTCTAGAACTCAAGGAAGGTTCCTTGTGACAGGAACCTTTGTTAGGAAATGATTTTGTTTGCGTACACAAACATTGTTCAGACTTTTATCTAAAAGAAGCATTTAAGAGATTATTTTGTAAACTGATAACTGTAACAGACTGCTTTGTACTCCACTTGATGTGGTCCCAGTTGGGAACTTTTCACCTAGGTCTTAAGCATATCGTATTTATCAGCAGCACAAACCAGTTCTCATGGATCCTCTTCCTATCTCACAAGTGATTCCAGAAAACCTTAGTGGCTTATGAAGAATAAATTGGTCTGGACTTGTTCTGCATTGCTTCTAAGCATGGATTTCCTCTTGAATGCAAAAGAAACCATGGGTGATTTTTTGAGAACTGAGATTTTTTGTCTACTGAAGCCAGCTAATGACATGGCAATAACTAGTACTTTAACAAAGATATTTCAGCATACATATATTTTTAGCTCAAGAATCTGTAGCTTTCCC